AAAAGCCAAAACAGCAACCAAAGAGCTTACGGAAGAGATAAATAGAGTATACTGAAACAAAAGGACAGCTCAAAGTGGTTCTCACAGCTAGAATGGCTGGATAAAAAGACAAGATTGCTCACCCTGTCCTTCTTACAAAAATCCGCCATTTTACCACCAACTCAGGTGCGCGTTAATTAGAAAAATTTCATTGAATAAGGTCCATTCTACCATAGATACTATATACCCCTGGATACGAAACTCCTCTATGCACACATATAAAATCCCATAAGGAAACGTCATAAACGTCACATCCGGCTGTCCTCACCCTTGTTTCGCTGCATTCATGGCTGCCAGGGTAAGTAAAAATACTTTTAATGTCGCATCAGACACACTAAACCCCCCTCAAACCCATACTACCAATTCCTCCCCTATATACACCACGGCCGACAACAAACTAGTTATCACCGTCGCCCCCCAAAACGACATTTGCCCCCAGGGTAACACATACCCCATAAAGGCCGTTCCCATCATCAGTATATATATCACCACCCCCACATTCCATACCATTCTTTTCACGTAACTCCCATAGTAAATCCCCCTCCCTATGTGCATGTACACACATCACAGTAGCCTATTCATTTGTTAAAGTAGCTGAATGATCCCTCAGAGGACTTTGCAAAGCCTTTATATATTGAAATAATGCTCATAAACGATAGTTTGAGTGCATATTATAGTTCTACAATGGATGTCATTGTAGTGACCGAATGGAGAGAGCTTGACCTTCGTATTTTGTAAATATTGATTATTGTAAAAAGGCTAAAATCTCTTCTGACAAAAATGAAAAGAACATACACTTATATACAAACAGTATTACATCATATTATATCACAATGACAAAACATTACACAACAATCAGAATCAGTATACATGAACTAATAAGCATAGTAAATCATAAGCATCAGCTAGAAGGAAAAGAAATAACATCGTACAGCAATGCAATAATAATAATAATTAATAATAGTAATAATAATAATTGTAATAACAATAGTAGTAATAATAATCATAATAACAATAATAATAATACTA